GCATCTATAGCATCTTCACATTAAGGCTTTAACAGAGCAACATAATCATACCCTTGGTCATTTCTAGTGCTATTTCTGAAAATGAAATGTTCTACAGACGTACAATACCTAAAATAGTACAATTCCCATCAGAATATATCAAATCAAACAAATCCATTTTTCACAAATACATCAAACATAATGATGATAACAATTTGTAAGTACTAATTGAAAGTGGTTAACAGAGAACTAAGTGAAACAATAACCATAAAATACCCAGGAGAAATGTAATATGTAGTGATTCTAATTAATATTACTGCTAAAAAACCATTAGTAAATAAATATGGTCCATGTACTGCTAATGTCTGATTCACTAACAATGACATCAATATATATTCTGATAAGTGTTAACACACAGAATCATACACAAAAGGTGCAGCGAATTAAAAAAAAAAAGACCCAAAACTTGAGTATCTTTTATTAGTTTGCTATTAATACAAATTAATTACATGTAGCAAGTTGTAAGAACTGAAGGAAGAGTTCATCTGTAATTGTGCCACTGTATCAATGTCATTGAATTTCAAAACCCCAAGACTCAAGTGCTTTTGAGTAGTTGACTATTCTTCTTCAGGAGAATAAATTCAGTAAGAACTGAAGGAAGAGTTCATCTGTAATTGTGTTGCTGTATTGATGTCATTGAATCTCAAAACTACAAGACCCAAAACATGAGTGCTTTCAAATAGTTGACTACTGAATTTATTCTCCTGAAGAAGAATAGTTAACTATTCAAAATCACTTGAGTTTTGGGTCTTGTAGTTTTGAATTTCAATTACATCAATACAGCAACACAATTACAAATGAACTTTTCCTTCAGAAATTAAGACTGGTTATATGTAATTAATTTGTATTAATAGCAAACTAATAAAAGATATTTTAATTTCAAAACTAATAACACAATGATTTCAGTGAGTAACCAAACATATTATTCAGACAAATGTTTGAAGTCTTAAGCCAATCAACATCACATATAATAGATTTATAAGAAGAAACTACTATGGAAAATAAGATAATTAACTTAAAAATTCATAAACATAATAAAAAATATTTTCCAATTTTCTTTATAATAAAAAACATATTTTTGTGGCTTTGCACTGTTGCTCAGTTCAGTGGTTTGTACCCATTCTAGAAATTACTATTTTATATAGTACAATACAGTACACAGGTATCTTGTACCAGCATAAAATAATATAGTAAATCCAAAGAGCCGTTAAAAAATGAGAAAAAATAAGAGCTACTTTCTAAAATAAAACTTAAGAAATACATCACTAAGCAAAACATACAGAAAAAATGTTATATATTAGAATTTTCTTGTACTATTTAGTCAAAAAACAAAGCCACTAACACTGACAACTTTCTCTAATACTGACCACCATCGCTGCATTAGTCAAAAAAAGAGGGCAAGACATGAATCAATTCAGAAATTTTAGAAAGAAATACTGGAATAAGAACATTATCATTCTTGGTTAGATTCTTATTAAAATTATAGCTGGTTATGAAGAACTCATGAAAAAAATGTTCAACGCACCATAGTGATAGTTTCCGACACTTAACTTAAAAAAAAAACAATTATTTTCAACATCCTACCAACAAAGAGAGTTTAATATTTCTAGTATAAAAGCAATTAGCAAAATAAAACATGTTAGTCTATAAAAAAGTTATCACCTACACTTGAAAGACATAAACTGAAAGTTTAAAATTTATTCTCCCTTTTTTGTTGAATTATATTCAGTTCAAGGTATTACAGCTGTACACAGGAAGGCACAAGAATCAAACCTCAATAGAACCACAGATAAAGTTTAAAATGTGTACAAGAGAACCTTAAGTTTTGTGATATTCTCTGGAATTTAACTGTTACAAGTTTCCTATTTATGTTTAATGTGAAATTGTCTGGATACTGGTTATAATAATCCTTTTAAACATCTGGAAATTCACACTTATCTTATGTTTTTTACTTTCTTTTAAGTGAACATCATAATTTTGATATAATACAGTTTGTATGATACTTCTAAGCAGACACAATCAGGATTTATTATTAAAAGCATTAAGAAACAACATTTTAACAAAATCCCTAATTACTTGAATATGAAACAAAATAATTTCAAGCATAAAAATAAATGTGAAGGCTATATGAAATTAACTGAAGCTAGTGATTCAATTTTGTGCTTTGGGATTATTGATTACCATTTCATGTTTATTACACTTTCATTTTAATATAAATCTACAGACAGTTTATATTAATTTTGAAATTGATTTTCAACTGCAAAGATTCTGATGAATAAAAATGTTGCTTTCATTCAATATGTGCTACAATCATAGTACAGGGGCCACCCAGTGGTAATTCTGTAAACTTATAAAGCTAGAAGCCAGGTTTTGATACCCTTGGTGGGCAAAGCATAGATAGTCCATTGAGCAGCTTTGCACTTAACAACAAACAAGCAACACAGGGAACTGCATTTTTTAAAACTGATATTTTGCATGTTTTCAAATATCACACCTTTTAAAAAAAATCTAAAGAACATTATTAAACATGCACCCACACAAATTCTGTAAAAATGTCATTGAAAGAATACTATGTTCTATAGAATTCAACTTATTTTCATGGCTTTTTAGCATGGAAAGGGTATCCCATGAAGATTATATGAAAATATTCAGTTTTTGAAGTTACATATGTAATAAATTTTACAAATAATATGTATCTCAATGTTATTTCAATCAAATTCCTAAATACGTGATGCATTATTTTTTTCATAACAAGTACAGTATACAGCATGTTTTCTCTCTAAAACTGTGTTTCATAAAAATGCAAGCATAAAAATAGTTCTGATTTCCTACAAAATCAGAAACAAAAATATTATTTTTCTTAACTTATTTATCAACTGACAACTTATTTTGATTCGCTATGGCTAAAATAAAGATCTTCAAATGCACAAATTCATTATATTTTGCCATCAGTTTAGTGGTAGCTCACAATTATTAGGCTTGTAAATGGCTTAGAATAAAGATTGGTTGATGTCTGTTTACCCATCCAACAATAGATGAATGAAAGTATCAACTTATGAAATTTTGTAGTACACGGTATGTTTGAAATTAGATCATAATTCATCCAAAATATTTAAATTAAATATTCATTTCGTTTTTTTTTTAAAAAAAGAAAAAAGTAAAAATAACAGTTCAATAACATTTTTGCCTAAGAACAGAATAAAGTTTCATTTTTCAGGTATATGAATATATATTTTTCATCTAACTGTTACAAAACACGAGTGTAATTATAAATGATTTGTATACAACACAGATAAAGATTTTAAAAAAGATACATATACTGTAATAGCCTCATTTCCCCTTGTGAGCAAAACACCTGAGAAAGAATATTTTTATGTTTGAATAATTTGATAATGAACCAACTTGTGCAAATAAGAGGTTATGTAACTAAATGTCAATCCTTTGGAACTCTTTAGTCAGGAAACAGCAAGCAATTAGTAAATGTTACCAGAAAAATTCACTAGCTTGTATTCTTCCTGCCCATATGTTACAATATACTAGTATATTATTTTTGAAAATATTATCAGAGTATAAAAACTTTATATCTACATATATATATATATTTTAACTCTTTCACCACCACATGTGCAGATAATCAGCTCTCTCATATCTACAAAACAAAGATATGTTTTAATATTTCATTATTTACTGATCTGTTTATCGTATACACATTATACAAGTAAAGAAATGTATAAATATGATTATTTTTTATAACACTTGATTAATAAAAGTTTCTTTAAGTACTTCATAATGTATCACACACACCAGTGATGCAATTGTAAATGTACTACTAGCTTCGTACCTGGAATAATATGAAAGTTTTCTAGTTGTTCGGTTCTTTGTCATCTTTTGTGCTATCTAATAAAGCAGCCTAAAATTGTATATAAATATCGTATTTGTAAAACAACTGCAAATTCTCAAGAAAAAATTATGAAGTTCTTCATAACTAATTCTACATTTTTCAGAACAATTTAGGTAACTATTTTGTCAATCGTTTCTTTATGACATAACAGATGAAATGTGTTTGTTCTGTAATTTCATCTAATACTTAGCTTCTACATGTATACTGAAATTGACCAATGTAAGAACTTTTCATAATTCTATATTTTAATATAGCTAACTTATAGTTTTAGCAAGTGATGAAAATTTTTTTATATATCAACAAAATTGGATGACTAATCTACAAAAATTGTATACTAATCTCAAAAAAATGTAAAACTAATCCAAAAATAAATAAACCGGACAAACCTACATTGAACACAGGAAAATGGAAAAGAAAAGAAAACTTAACTGACATTGTTGGCTTTCTCCTGCAGTGTATATTTATCTGATGTATTCATAAAACATTATGTTTGTTTATATTTGATTGTTATCATTTGGTACTTAAATACACTACTCATTTTTGTAAGTAAAAATTTATAAACACACATATTCAACTGAATAACCCAGTAAATGGCTTTAGCTATTTTTAATCTCCAAATAAGTCAATGTTTTTTCTATCTTATATTTCATACTTCACTTATATTTTAAGAGAGAGTAATTTTCTCATTTATGTTAGACAATTCAAATTTCTACCTATATCAATTCTCCATCTCTTATACCATATATTTTTAACATTGGGCTTATATTTATAATTCTATTTCTATTTTCAGCAACTGTACATGAAACATCTCAACCACCATATCTTGCACAGTACACAATTTTTCATGACAACTGGTTGAGAACTAACAGTTCAAAGTTATATTTTCAATTCAACCTTTTCAACAAATTGTAAATTCCCACTATCAAAACATATTTTGGAACTTTTCAATTTTTTTTTTAATGGATAGATTTCAAAATCAACAATTATTCTTCCTTGATTTAAGACATTTCAATGTTATTTTTATGCATAGTGTAATTTATTAAACATTAATAAAGTTAAGTCACTAATTATAAAAATCTAACTTATGAAAAAGATAAAAATTTTTAAAATATTCTATATTAAGTACAGACAAAAATACCAATAATTGTATAATGTAGAGAAGAAATAAAGCTTGCACTGCAAGTGTTATTAAAAACATTCTACAAAGACAGCCATTCTTTTTCCCATGTTTCTAAAACAACATTAAATATATATAAATTTCAACATCTAAATAAAACTTAAAAAACAATTTTTTTAACATTTAATACATCACTTTTCTTTTAAAGTTCTGTTCACACTTTGCAACTGTTAACTATACTGCAAACTGTAAAATTAATATGTAATACATGCTTCCCTATACTGAAGCAGATATTAAAGCAGGAAAACACCAATGTTGCAGCTTTCTTCAACACAGCTGTATCTCACATACCATAGACAAATTTAGAAAGTATTGTTTCTAATTATCTGTTACCACAATGAATACCTACAATCACACTATTTACTAAATCTGAAGGCTATTCTTGGAACTTCAGACAGTATTACTTGAGAAAGAAATATATTTTTTTACTTTTAAATATCATGATCAGATTAATACACCAAAAACCTATGTCAGACAAAAGAATGTCATATCTTGACTGGCACATCACACAGCATCTTCTCACCATATCAAGGCAAGTGCTGAGAACAAAACTCCGTTTACCAGAGCCAAAATATATCCAGTATGAAATGTGTGTCCAGAAGAAGCCCTGTGTGAAGAATATGTCTGTATATAGTTATAGAGTAAACTGATAACATTATAATTATAAATTACCTTAATCTCAACAATATTTCAGTTTATCTCACTGAAAAGTACAGGAAAATTACATCATCAGGTGATGTCCTCTAATAATAATAATAAAACAAAATCTAATAACTTCAACTCTTTAAAAAAAATAATTTATTCTTAACATCTCTAAACAAACAAAACCAAATACGTATTATTTTTTGGCCATAAAAATTTTGATGTCTTACATTTTATCATCTATTTAAAAGTTAAAATAATAACCAGCCAAACAATAAGTGTAAGCTGACTGTTAACAACATGGACCATTAGGAGCTATAAGAATCAAAACCAAGTCACAGATATCAAGTTTCAAATCAAACTTATATGTAGATATATGCAGTCTTTTAATTTAATGGTAGGTGAAATGTATGTATACATCTTAAGAAGCTCATACCATTCTTATGCCTGTGATATATATATACCCAGAATTTACATTATTCAACCTCAGGGGGTTTATCTATTCATAACTTTTAAGATCAATAAAAAATTACTTTTATGATGCATGAAAATTGTAAATAAAATACCTTTTGGATATAGTTAGTATCCATAATAAATTATTATAAATAAATAAATATATATATATATATATATATGTATATACGAAACACAGAATAATAAATGTCACCAGCATTTTATAACCATGACATACATTTGTCTTTAGCTCTGCTCTATTATACATGGAATATTCTATTGCATATATATATATATATATATATAAATTAATGTACATATAAGATATTTCAAATAAGTATTTATGCTAAATAATGTGTGTTAAACACACACAACAGCAAATGAAATGTAGATGTCATGATTATACAATACAACACATTCTATCATAGTTAATATAAAAGAATCATAGTAGTCATTGGTTGAAATACTCTTGAATACCTGATCTTCCTTGGAGAGAGTGGTGAGGGTGGCTGAATCCCAGGCTGGCAACTATCTAAGTAAATAATCATCCATGTGAAGAGAGATACAGTTATTCCAGTTCCTAATGCTAACAGAGTATCTGAAATCATCAGCTCTGCTACAAGGAAAAAAAATAATACAAACTTAATATAATTTTTTATGAAATGCAATTTCAATCAGACATGCTCACATAAATAGCTAATATTGATTGATTTTTTTTTATAAATGAAAATCAGTAACTAGGTCCAAGCCAAACTAAATCTTTAAAATACAAGAATATAATATAATTCTCAAAATACAGGTACATATCTATTTTTACAAAAATACACAGAAACTTTGGAAAGATTTATTAATGTAGTAAAAAAAATGTATGTGTTATGTATAAAAGAAATAACAATGAATTATATATACATGTTGAATAATATATGATGGAAACCTAGGTTATTGCAGGTTTTAATGACTTAGATATGTTTTAAATTATTTTAGACTAGCTGATGTACCCGTTCAACACAGGGGGAAGATATAGGGGGCCAGAACCCATTTGCACGTCGTTCAGCACCAATTTGTCTTCTTTGCTTTGTTTCTTCAGGAGCTTCATTTGACCGTGTCAGCTGTTTTCTCTCTGCTTCAGTTATTATATTTTTTGCTAAGCTTACTTGATTTTGTGTGTCTTAAAACTACTTTTTTTTTCTCTTGCTAAATGATGTTTTCTTTCTTGCACTGTTTTTGAACAAATTTTAGTTTTTCAATTGAAATGAAAAGGTGAGGTGGACTGATGCTGTAAACATGCCATCTTTTAATTCAAATGTTAACCAATATCTCAAATTCCTTATGGTGCTGAAAGAGCTTGTTGTAAATATATTCATTAATAAAAAAATTAACATAAAATATTGACTTGACTGGGATTTAAATGCAAGACTTTGATATGAGAGTCAAATACTGTAACCACTGAGCCACTTTGACACCTAGTCTTTGAGATGCAATGATAACAAATATTAATTTAAAATATTTTGGTATTCGCATTTTTTCGATTATTGAAAGAGCTTGCTCTAGCATGATCATTTATCAATAAAAAAATATCAAAAATCCCGACTGCACTGGTATTTGAACACGAGACTTCTGTTTGATGTTCAGGTGCTCTAACCACTGAGGTACTTTAAGCATAACCAACAGACAGTGACCTATATATATACATATATAAAGTTCTATAGTTTTGATCTGTTAAATAAGAATGTGATTAAAATAACTCAATCTATTTGAAAGTGTGGCAACAAAGCAGAACAGGGACATCATTTTACAGATCTAAAGGAAGAGGTACAAATTTTAGATTTTTGCTTGAAATTGTGTTTGTGTTTCTAATTAGTTGGAAACTGCAACAGACAATTTCAGAAGTTATAAAATTCTGAAGTTGAGAAATCAGAGCTCATACACATCATATGACATAGAAAAATAAAGTTTGATATTTCTATGATATTCAGTTTTGAAATTGAGAAGTAAAAACCTAGTCAATATAAAAATTTGAATTATAAACTATGTTTTCATTTCAGGTTTACTGACATAACATAACGTAACGTTTTGGGACAACATGGGACATATTGGCCCATCTTGGCTGTTCCATCCTCTAAATCAAAATAAAACTATGAAAAGAAAATCTTAAAGTCAGCTCTTATCATTCATATACTTATCAAGTTTTCTCTTAAACTCACTTAAATTTACTGCCCCCACAACATCTGAAGGC